AATGTAAGCTGCGTTTAAATGAATGGAAATGGGCTGCAGTGCAGCCGGAAAAAACGATTTGAGCTCTTCGCGCACATCAATCTCTTTCCTCACAATAAGGGGCCTCTTTCTCCCCGACACTTGCCTCGCGCAATCAACAAAGGCATCTGACTCTGGCGTTCATTCAGTCACTCATCGGTTGATTTCCACCGGCTGACTGATGGAGGCGTACGGCCAGCTGCAGCTACCACAGCTGCCTCGTGATGCCTGTCCTCCGAACGCGGCAGAAACCTCCGATTTGATTGAATCCGTGCAGGCTGGGACTTTCAATTAGCTTTATTGAAACCGAAAGCAGTAATACCATGTGTGCGCGTTTGTATAGGCCGCAAGGACCTCTATGATTAAAGTAAAACTATTAAATGGGTTCTTTTCCACAATAAAACGTGTAGACCTACTTGGAGTTGTATATTTCTTAGTAAAGCTTGATTGAGATGAGGCCAACAGCTAAATGCGGTAAATACATTTGGTGCGGCGCCAACTGTGCATACAAGCCAATATGCTGGAACACAAATTTGCTATGTGTACGGATGCTGTTGAAACGTCTCCTAAGAGCCGATTCTACTCTATACGGCCCACTTGTGGGGCAGTTATGGGAAAGCAACAAGAAAAAGATTTCGGGGGCATTTAATGATGCTCTCAGAATCCTACTCGAGCTTCCACGGTGGATAAGTGCAGGTTGGATGAGTGAATTTTCTCACCTTTTTGAGGGAATTGAAATGTCAAAAGACCGATTGCAAAAAAAAAAACCCCGGCGTCACAAAGTGAGCCGCGGTATTCTTCTTCTTTGGAAACATCGGGAAACAAAACGAGCTAAACTCTCACGGTCTTTTACACACCGTTCCCAATACATTACAGGTAAATAACCACTAGTGATTCTTCAGGAACATCTTCGTCTTGCTTTGTACCACATGAGCCCTGACAAAGCAAAGATATTTTAATGTTACTTAATTCTTACAGGAATAAAATGAGATGGAAAGGGGGAAAAAGAAAGCGATCCAAAAATGTGATCTGTTTGGAGGAGCACTTCCCGTTGAGGTGGGCGCCCTCTCTCCTCCAGAATGTCACACCTGATATCGAACCAGCCGACCTTATCGATTTGAGCTGCTGCTGCTGCCTCGCTGACTGACAAAAGCACTCGAAGCCATTTCCGAGCTATTTGCAGTACTCGGGCGCATGCAGAGATGTGGAGCGCCTCTTACTTTTGGCACGGTGATAACTGTGATGATCGACGAACTCGGTGAGAGATGCTCTCCAACGACACCACGGCTCGGGAGGGCAGGCGAGGTGGAAAAAACGAGCCTTCACGTTTCCTCTTTTAGTCATCGCTGTATTAAAAATGTCACCACTTATTCGCTCTCTTGTTTTAGACATCACCGATCAATTTCATAATGCTGAAGCTAAATGCTAAAGCCCCTTAGCTTAGCATAAAGACGACTGCTACTTGCACCTCACTTGCGCCTCATCTGTCATGTGGGGAATCCTTCCGGCATCCAAACGTCTTTTGATTGTGGTGTACTGTCCTTCCTTTGGGGGCTTGTCTTTTTTTAAATGTCTGTCATGTGAATAATGAGATTAGTCTATTGACGAAAGCTTGGTTATTTAAATAGTACTGATGGAGAACCAAAACAGAGCAGGTCATTGGTAGTAGCTGTGCTGCACCATGCAGGACAAATGCAGAATAAATGATCAATTTGGGTTGCCTGGCTACTACTACTACTACTTTGTAGAGATTAAACTAACTGGTGGGCAGATTTTATTTTCCCAACGATATCTAAAGGCAGATGTATTAATTGTGTTTCTAGCCGCTTGAGTGTAATTTTAAATCCTGTCGATCTTTGTGAGGTGGGAGTTGTACTGCGCAAAGCAGGAGCCTACTTAGGAGTTTATTTTTGTCCTGGGTTCAGCAAATGCTAAGTGATCCATTGAAATGAAATCGTGATGGGATTGACTTTATCTTAAAAAAGCTGTGGTCGGAGTTAAACCCACACAATCCTGGTGAAGAAAGCATCACGTCATGTCAAAAAAATGGACTTCCTGACATTATCCCACTTGGATTGAGAAAATTACAACATTTGAACTTTCACTTCCAGATTCATTGGGCCCGACACTTTAAACCGGAGCGGTGGAGGACGGACGGGGAACATTTGAGAGTAGAGCGAGAGGTCAACGGCTCTCCTCGTAGACCCTCACCGCCCCCACCGCGGCCGCTCCCAGATCGTGTCGCCTCCCCGGGGCCCGGCCCTGCACTATTTCTGTTACTACGGTTTCACCAGCGACGGTCTGACTGGCATCTATGTAGGCGGCTATCACGCATGAAAAGGCCCCAGATGAAAAGCGATTCATTCAGCTGAGCTTCTTTTAAGAGGATCCGGCAAGTTGTTTACTTTTCTTTTATCTATCTTATCTGTCTCTACGGGGGCCGGCATCGCTTAGACACATTTCACCAAGCGCCGTCTCTTTTTAACTCCACCGAACCACCGCCTCCCATCACCACGCTCTCTAGCAGCGTGCGCCTGAGAGAACGTACGGCGGGGAGCTCGATAACGCTCGCTGACGGCGAGTAACTGCCGTCCTCACTTCTGATTGGTTTGATTCATATCAGAAAATAACCCGGGGAGAAGTGAAACCGTTATCTTTTTAGAGCCAGTTCCGATCAGTGTCATGAGAATCAACGGATAAAAGCAAAAGCCAATCCTTGCTTGTCTATTATATCAATATACTGTTTTTTGATACTTGTTTTAAAATGAAAACGCTAATCTGAGATAAAGCACAATGGCTGGTGTGTCCGTAAGAGGAGAACTGTGATCTCAGAAGCTGTCTCTGTGCCCTCGGCAGGCTTTGTAAATAGGTTGAATATTTCTTGTCAGCTGAATAACTTCACATTATCAAGCTGGCAAAGAATTGCCTTTGTATGACATTTTTCTAGGAATACTGCCCCCAACAAATCATTCATGCCAGTGAAATAATTAGCTTAAAACACATTAGAGAGCTTCATTTAGCTTTGAAAAACTTTGGGTTAGTCATGTCAGTATTGCGTCAGTGCCAAACCCTGCAGTGGGAGATTGGTGCTGGATAATATCAATCTTTTGAGCTCAATATGTATTTAATAGAGTGAATTACAACCTATTTGCTGAGAAGAAATCCTGAGTTTGGGCCCCTTTTTCACTCATGGTGGCTAGAGACTGCTTGGAGACATTTTCATTGGGGTGTGCCACAGGGTTCCGGCCCGGGGCCCTTTCTGTTTTTCTCATGTGTTACTTTTAAGTGTGTGTGTGTGTGTGTGTGTGTGGCTTCGCACGTTAAGCCAAATCCAATTGAGAGGGTTGAGATGTTCAAATGAAGGAACGCACATTTCGAGGACATTTCTGGTGTTTCACTTGTGTTGTGTGAGCTTGAGAGGGGAGTTCAAGCCGTGTGAAGTGTGTGTGTGTGTGTGTGTGTGTGTGTGCGATTTGTCAACCCCGACATTGGATGTGTGTGGGGTTCAGTGACCCAACAAGCACATCGCTTGAAGCTGATTAGGATGATAATCACTACCTGCCTCGTTCGTTTACCGTCCGTCAAAAAGGTCCTCTCCTTTTAGACCCCCTACAGAATGAACGTGCTGACAATTTCTTCCGTGAGATTCAGCGTTGTTCCGTTTGCTCTGACCCAACTGAAAAGATCTTTCAAACCGCTTTTCCTGTACTTCAAGTACAAGATGCATAATTTACTACTAACATTGGCTTTAAGTGAGGTGTAAACAAGCCCATCAGACAACCAAAGGGAGATAAATGTTTCAATCCTTTTAATGGCTTTTCCTTCAGAAGCATTCGCTCCCGCGAGCGGCTGTAATGAACCTCAGAGCCGCCCGCAAACACAAACACACACACACACACACACACACTTCTCTCACACTCGGCCGTGAAACATCCACACCCGCTAGTGCACTTAATCATCCCCTGAGCAAAGTAACCTCCGAGCGTGGACTTAAAGCGCTCCCCTTCAATATTGCCAGTCAAACAGGGAGCGGCGGGGAGCCGCGCTTAGCGGGGGCGGCGTGCTGCCGCTCCTCGCTGCTCACCCATTTGAGCTTCATTCGATGCGAACGCTGCCCGAGAGGGAGAATAGTGACAAAACAGAAAAATATTATGCTCGCCTTCCCCCGACTGCCCCAGAAATACCGCAGGAAAGTGTCCAGAGGGCCGTGTGTCTTTTGGGCAATTTGCAAAACGGGATTTTCGAGGACAATGTTTGGTCCTTTTTGGCGCATTTCTGAAATGATGGTTGACACCTTCCTCAGAGAGAGGCCAACCAAACCAGACAGGTGTGTGTGTGTGTGTGTGTCAGGTGCTTATGCAGAGCTAATGCGTGTTTGTTGACACTACCGGGCTGCAAGGCGCTGGCGGAGAAGCGCTACAGGGAATGCATTTGATTTGTAAATGAGAAACACACTTTCGGAAGACAAACACACACACACACTCAGGTGTGTCTGTTCCCCGCGGGGATGATTTGCAAGTGAATAGGCGTGTTGCAAAGGCTGACAAAATGCTTCTTGGGGAACAACCGGTCCGCGTGCACCGAGGACGAGCCGTTTACCACTCGTGCACCTTTTCATCAATAGAAGCTTCGCTAGAGCGGCTCTATTAAAATGTAACCAAGCGCTGTTTGCTCTAACTTTCCAGTCACTGCCTGCTGCTCGCGGCGTGTTCAAGGTCGCCTCTCTTTACTCTTACATGTGTGTTATATAACGTTTGTGCGTGAAGCTCCAGACGACAGTTTCACAGGAACTCGGTGCTCAAATGTCCCTTTGACGCTTCGCTGTATCATTTTTCCTACTTCAGTGTGCATCGGCGAGTGTGAGCGGGAGACTTCACAGCGCGGCTGGTTTTGATGACCCGTATCGGCTTCACCTCTGCATCTCCCTGTTGAGAACAGCACAGGTGTTTTCTCTGATAGCTCTCTCTCTCTCTCTCTACCAGGAAGGAGCAGCCGTCCAGCCTTCTTCGTCCAAAAGAGGGAGTTCTGGCATTCTCGCACACACCAGCCCGTCTACAGGTCGGACCATGGCCGCTCTGTGTGAGTACCCCCCCCCCCCTCATTGTTTTTCATTTGGGAATCTGTAAGGAAGGAAAAAGTTTCAGACGGCTTTGATGCAACATCCGAAGCGCTGAGGCCTACAGCTCTTCCGTTGCATCACGGTTGCAGCGGTCCGTCAAGCAAACAACGCTCGTGGTTGATGCAATGCTGTGTTCCAATTTGTTCTGTGAGATAAACATTTGGGAGGACGCAGCTTTTGAGAACCAGATAGTTCATTGTTAGATAAGGCCGACCTGCCTGGCAGTTATTTTTTTTTAATGGGAAGCCGCCGGCTCGCTAGATACCGGGCTTCCATTACTGCGATAGCGCCGCCGCGGTGGCTTCCTCTAGTTTGTGTTCCGCCGCCGCTGATAGCGGTGCACCCACAGATGGAGCTTACGGTGCCAGGTACAGTCCATTTTTAACCCGGGGAGGATCAAAGGCAAGCTAAAGTCTGGTGGATAGTTAAAGCAAAAATGGGATTAAACACCCTTCAAACTCTGGGAATACCGAAATGTCATTACACGCTGCATAAAGTGAAACATGTTAAATTCCCACTATATGTTCAACCTACAAGAAGGATTCAAGTCAGCAGCCGCTCTGTCAGGCTGTGCTTTTGGGCTTTTAAATGATAGATTTTATCTTTCTATAGCGCAATAATCCAAAATGCGCCTTTTTAATGTTTTTCTAAATAAAAGAGGCTGAATGCAAAGGACAGTAACCGGCGTGATGCATCGCCTGCGTGAGCTGAGGACGTCGCTCATTGCTCAGCGAAGGAAACGCTAACTCCTGCGTTTCAGCGGCCCGGGATGAAGCATCGACAGAAGCCCTCTGCGTTGGCATTTAGCTCAGGTGGAACCAACTTAAGTGAAACCTAAGGCTCACGTTTTGATGGGACGAGGAGAGAAATGGGCCTCTGCAGACGTCAATGGGAAGGAGCGACGAGCCGACGGCACTCAAAGTGGTATCAATGGTGCTAACAGGAATGTTTCCACATGCACGCACACACGTGAGCTCGTAAACTCAGCCATGCGTGCTCTCACCCGATATGTATTCGCACACACAGACGGAGATTCTCTCCATCTCCACCTGAGATCTGTCAGGCTTTCGCGTCGTCCCCCTGCGAGTCCCTAAATCTCTGCGCCGTGTCTAAAAGTGGAGCTTCTCGACAATCCCGACTTTTGTCTTCCGCTGACAAGTTGTCAGCGACAACGGCGCGGATCCCCCCCGGGAGGGGGGGTCAAGAGTCCAGGTCCACACCCCCCCGCCCCCCCCCCCCCCCCCTGCAAAGCCTCAACGGTTTAAATAACCGGGATTTAAACCGAGGCAGAGCTGGCCTCTAAATCTCTGTGCCTGTTTCCTCTTGTGTTGCAGCAGAATCACCTCTGTGAGCGAGAGGTGGGAGTTAAATAGCATCGTTTCTAAAGTGTATTTACGTTGGGATCCGTCTGCAGCCGAAGCAAACCCGTCGCAGCCGCCCGGAGAGAATTCTTGAGTGGGTGCGCGCACGCTGCCAATTGCAGCCAGATTTTGCCAAAATATGTTTTTGTGTTTTAATTAATCTCTTCCTAGATAGGCCTGCCAAATGATAATGTCTTTTTAATATTATCCTCGGGACAAACAAAGGTTGCCTTTGGTTTGATCCCCTTATGGGACACACGAAGACGCGTGTGATGTTTTGAAAGTGAAAAATGGAGGTTTGACTGCGTTGCGTTCGGGTGGGAGGCTTCTAAATGGCTCCTCCGGGTGAACACATAATAGTTTGGCATGAATGGTAAATTGTCATGATTCCAAAATCAATCAGTGGGAGCATTAGATTTTCTGGTTGTCATTCCTTTTGACTGACAGGGTCTTTCGTGATCTATTATTAACCGCCTTTTTAATTCCACATTTGTAATCTAATAAGACGTGGGTCTATTCAAAGGTGAATCCAGTACACAGATCCAGTGAAGATTTCCTCACGGCCCGCTGGCTGTTCCATCTGCGTGAGCACGGGACCGGTCCGATGTTCATTACACGGCCCTCTGGCTTTGGAATATTAAACCAATGGAATGGATCTTACCAATCAGTTACTCGGGCCGTACTAAAGCCCCCTGGTTTCACAGCGAAAAGCCTCTATTGAGGTTTCAGAATGAAGCTCTGAATGTACAGTTTAAACACACTTTCTCATTTAATTGATCAAGAAATTGTGTCCAAACGTTTGACTTGAGTCACTTGTTGCAGATGACGATGCAGTAAGTGAAAGAGCAGAACTCATGAGCCAGACTTGATATATTCAGGGGTTTTGCTGGTCTTACCAGTATCTTATGATAAGCTAATGTTAGCTTTAGATAGCCAACTTTAGACTCCCAACATTCCTCCCCTGAGGACTTGAGTTGTTTGCATTTCTCTATCAGAAAATGTGGCTACGAAGAAAATCTCTGAAATCCATTTGCCGTTATCTTTCAGTTCCTACTTGTGTCTCACATCAATGGACTGGTTTGACATTATGTGGATCATGTGGAAATCCCCCACCAGCGCCTGTGAAGGTCAATAAGTAAAACACGGATCGCTCACCCGACCGTCTAAGGGGACGTCGCCTTCTGTGAACTAGAGATTCCCTTTTTACACTTTCTCCTTGATGTTTCCGTTAGTCCTTCAACGTAAGAAGGTCATTTTGTTGGTGACAGAAACACGCGCTGGCCTGAATACAAGGCGACCTACATTGAGAGGGAGTTTTCTGGAGATGATTTATCAGATGACGCGTTTGCTTCCATTGAAGCGTAACAAAAAAAACTCAAACTTTTGGAGGGATCAGCAATATATTGACATTGTTCCCACAGACGGATGAAATACCCCTTGACTCATTAGCATCGATTAGCACATCACTATTTAAGCCAGAAACCCTTTGCCAAATTAACAATTCCGTTGGCATTCAACCGTTTTATAGTCTGAAAGTTAATTTGGGTTTTAGTTTAATTCATTTGAATGTGTGCTCACTCTGGACTTCAGCTCGGGGGCGTTCGGCGGCCCCCTCATCAGGTATTCCACCGCAGTCTGTTTGTGTGTCACGTTAAGAACAGGAAATCCATGTGCAATTTCAGCGGGATTATCAGCAGAGTGCAGCTTGTGGAGGCTGATGGCCACGCCGCTCGCCAGTCGATGTGCAGCGTCCGGCTGCCAGAGGCCGTAAACAATGTGCTGTAAGGAGGGATTGGAGATCGGTCACTGGCTTCAAAGAGGACCTTTGCCATTGCTTGAGGGCAAAGTACGTCCAAGACGGAAGGAAGAAGGAGAAGAATTAGGGTACAATCCTCCACTCATCTTAAACGGATCACCTGCGATACGACCGTTGGAGGTTTCTAGCTCAGCTTCCACCTGAGGAGCTTTCTCTAGAAGAAAAGGTTTAAAGATGTCTTTAGATTTTACAGGCTCTCTGGCCTACACAGCAGCATGTCGCCTATTTCTGAGAGGAAACGTATGATTCACTATCTCAAAACAATGACTTGGTTATTAAATGTTGTACAAGATCGAAAACCTCACCTAAAAGTCATTTTAAGAAAATATTTCTAAAGTTTTGAAAAACAAAGTAATTATTTTAAAGCTATAGGTCATATATTTAGGGTACTGAGAACTATTTAGAGAAATGCAATATTTGAGCATTATTTCATGCATTCAGAGACTTTTTTGTTTCCCTGCTTTGATCCAGACGGGAAGATTGTGTCAACTCTCGTCTGCTGGATATAAAGAAAGCGCTAGCAGCTGCTCGCCTTAGCAGAAAGTGGAGAACAGCTTAATTGGCTCTCACCAAAGTTCAAAAATAGTCAAGTAGTGGAACTACAAATATCGTATAATATATAAAGTGATGTGCTGGAAGTCTTGTCGACCGTGACTTCCTGCGCTTAGCGGACGAACAGTGATGTAACTTCCTGTATGAGGTTGTGAGCAGTGGACGGCAGGCAGACTTTGCTTCCGCCTTCCTTTTATGCTAAGCTAGGCTAATCCCTTCCTGGCTCTACCACCAACACAGGGAATAGGCAGGTTCTCCGATGACGTGGAACTATTCTCCAAAGAGAATCAGAGAATCACATATCTGCCTGCAGCCGGGTGATCGCGTGCGAATGTCGCCTGTTGAGCGTCCCGGGTCGTGAAGCGCCGCAGCAGTTACCGCGGTAACGAGCGCTGACTCCAAATGCCAAACGTCTACCCGCTCCCGGCTGCAAAAATATCGACGGATGTGGCGAGTGTCTCACGGCGTGGGACGTCTGTGTCCATATGACTCCTGTGACATAAGGCTCCGGGCATGTCGGGTACCTCGATGCTCGCGTCTAAAAAAAGGCCGGCCCACATCCACCGCCCGCCTCCCTCCCCCCGAGTCACTCCTATTTATTTACCAAGGGGACTTCTAAAATAAAAACAGCTGTCGCTGGACGCCTCACTGAGCTGCCGAGCACACTGCTGGAGCTGGTCTCCGAGCCGCGCTGTCCGTCTCTGCGTAGGATTTGCCTTCCGCGTCGGGGTCAACGCCGGGCGCCGTGTCCTGCTGATCCGAGGCCTCCCTCCATTGGATTGTTTTTCGCTGTTCGACCTACAGGGTTTAGAAAAAAAATAAAAAAGGTAGGTTATCTTTCCAGGCCGGCTCTCGTATCGACGCGAGGCCTCTTGTCCACGCAGCAACGTTTGTAGGTGGGTCAGAGGGGGGGGGGGTATCCACCCGGGCACAAAGTGGCAGGAGACAAATTGGAGATGGTGGATGACATTTTAGCAGATAATGAATCGTGTTTGACGCGCCGCAGGCAGCGCCAGCATGAGGCGTCCTCGGTGAGAGTGGGAAACGAGATGAAGTACTGAAGGCTGTTTTTTTTTTGTGCTGGTGCAACAAGCGCGTCGAGTCTCCGCTAGGATTTTGTACACCATCATAAAAGATGCATGGGCCCTTCCTGTTTCCTTCCACCAGACACGACCGGCAGCGATGCGATCCGGGATGCTCTTGAAGAGTGGCAAATGGGAGACGGAGTGCTTGGCTTAGCATAAGGAAGCGCCTGAGGCCGCCGCGGATTCCATGTAAAGATGTTATTCTGATAGATTTGACAGCTCACTTATTGCGCCTGTTTGCGTCTCATCGGCGTCGGAGAAAATCGCCCGCAGCGGCTGACATTTCAATTAGTGAAGCTCCGTCGTGCTCCGCTCAAAACCCTCCGCTGACACAAGCTCTGGGCAGTAAGTAGTGAACGCAAAACTGGGGGGGTGACCCCTCTGTGGTTGGGTCACGGCCTCGATCTCTGGGCCACGCTGCCGCACCCTGAAAAGTACCCAGTCAGTTATTTCCCCCCTTTCTCTTCCCCTGGAACCTACCCCCCCCCCCCCCCCCCAATCCCTCCCGCTCCCCCCGGTTGTCTCTTAGCCGTCCTTCGCCTCTTAACTTTCGGCCTCACCCCAGCATTACCCCCTCCTCCCCCCTCTTCCCGGGTGCCATCCCTTGAGACAAGTAGCCGATGCTCTGGGAGGAAGAAAAAAGCTCAATGTGCCGTCTATGAAAAATAGAAAAGGAAACATGTTTTCTTTGCAATATCAATATCACACCATAGAAAGCCCTCGTTATATTGGGGTATCTGAAGCAGTGCGGAAGCTATTATTAATGCTAATTAAACATCCGTTGGCGCCAGTAGTAATTGGCAGCTGCGTGGAGAGACTGAGGCCTTTCAAGTCTTAGAAAACATCTCATATCTTATTAAAAGTTCTTTCAATGTTGCCTTAACTTTGTCTCCCCCCCCACACAAATCTCCCTGCAACCGTGACGCTGCAGACGGAGCCGGGTTATAAAAAGCCTGGGTCTATTATTTTTTTTGCTCCCGTCAGCGCCCCCTCCTCCCTGGTTACCTCACCCCCCCCGCTATGGCAGCTTTGCATACGGCATTCCCCTCTCAGGAGTGACGTGACGTGGACGTTTGTCCTGGCTGACGGATGAGGGCATTATCCTCGCGTTTAGGGGACACGTCAGCCTCAGGTGATGGATTTTTATTTTATTTTCGGCGCACATAAATATGTTGCCCCGTGTTTATTTTCAGACGCTGCCGTCTCAGGCAGCCTATTTTCTGACGGGTTATCGGTTACAGCAACATGCCGGACGAGGCAGCGGGCTAAAAGCGTGGGGGGGGACGGTGCTGGAGTCAGTTGCGTCTGAATTAAGGTCCCGCCAGTAAGTGGCATCGCTAAATTCATCCCTGCTTTGTTACAAAATATGTTTTCAGAAGCCTGGTGACTACTAATAAAAAAGCAGCCAAAAACACCAAGTGCTCCACATTGTGAATGATTCACCTTCCATTTAAAAGGGCCAAAATAATGAGGTTATTATTATTATTATTATTAGGTTATTATGTAGACGAAAGTTATGTTGCAAACAACAGAAACACAACGTTGTCACTGTCAGCTGTGAGTTTAGTCCACCAGGAACTCGCCAAGGGTCAGCTGGGAAAACTCTGACCTAATTTGGCATCTATGACACATTTTCAGGGCCGGTTGGTAAACAACCGTAGCCGGCGAGCTAACCGCTAACACGTAGTCCCCTAAGGAACATTCTAGAACTTCAGTTACCTTCGTCTCCCTCCGTTTCCTCTGCTCTTGTGCCCTTTCCCACTGCTAATAGTTTGATATTGGGATTCTACAATATGTCTCTTCTTCCGGGTTGTTGACGGAAGGAAAAAGGCCCGATTTAATGAGCTAACTGACGCGTGATACAACATCCGTGGCTAATGGACCAGTAAGTTCACACTCGTCACTAACTGTCTGATAACGACCCGTCTTTTGTGGACTTGGACAGCAGGTTGAAGGAAATCAGATGACTTCTCCACGCTAATAAGTTGCAAAGTAAAAATACATACAACTACGAGTCCCATTATTTTCAAAGGGAAGCTTAATTGGCAATAGAAAACGTTTCCAGAGCCAACAGCTCCTACAGTTACACAACTTTATTGGTTGATGGCGCAAAGAATGGTGGTAGACTTCTACATTTAGACTACAAGGCCACCAGCATGAGGCTAAATCTAGCTAGTGTAGTCATATAAGGGGACTAAGAGAAGCGCTTACACTCATTGAACAGCATGTGCTACGCCGCTAATCACAGAATCTGCCTCTAATCTCTTCCCTCTCGCAGCAACAAGCAGCTCCATCCAGATGCATCTTAATTAAGAAGCCTTCGAACGTTTGAAGTAGAACTCTCTCTGAGCTCGCGTACACGTGGAGAAACTAATGGAGTAGAAAAACGCAACACGGAGCAGGCTGTTGAAAGTGTCAAAGGTTGGAGCGAGAGCTCATAATGAGAATCGTTTCTATTTAGGGCGCGTTATCACCCCGCGGCGGCGCTTCCCGTGCTGACAGAGAGCGTACTGTGAGCCAAAAGGTCCGGTGTGGGCGTACACTGCGCCTTAATGTTGCCTAATGATGCTTTGTAGCACGGAGGAGTCAAATATAAAATTAGTGGTATTCTCTAATTGGCTATCTGCAGGGACATGTGGAGTGCTGTAGTAGCGCTTTGCTATTAATGAGCATTTGGTTTTCCTGTCGGCGCTTGTGGTGGATTGTTTGCCTCTGGCCACATTTGTATAAAACATCATATTTTAGGGACCATCACTGTATCCATGTGTTTGATTTTCTTGGACGTCCTTTGAATTTAGCGGTGGTATTTGTGTCGGCTGAGGTTCTCGTGTTTCCCACGCCGCAGGCGGCGAAGGTCGATCCGCGCCAGGACATCCAGAGGACGGGGCCCCGAGCGCCGAGGATCAGGAGGGCGAGCCGGTGTCTGTGAAAGAGCGACTGGCGATGTACCAAGCCGCCGTGTCGAAGAAGGAGAGCGCCAGTTCCTCCGCCGCGGTAAGACGATGCTTCCACGTGGGGCGTAAGGGGAGACGGCGGCCAGTCGTCGGCATGTTTGGATTTATTATATGACGATGACAATGTGGCTTCATGACCATTTCACCCGGCCTGCCCGCCAACCAGAGTAGAAATCCGCTGTCACGCTTGTAGCCTACATAGTTGAAGAAGGACAAAGGGGCCAGAGGGCGTCTGCCGGGTTGGAAGCGTGATTTGTCAAAGTGTCACAGCGCTCAGTGCTCGATGGGAAAAGCGCTGTGCGGAGTGCGACCGGGAGCCAGGCGGGACGTCCTGGAGCGGTTCCTCCACACAGGGCTGCTGCAGCAGGACGTACCGTCCGTTTCTCAACATACAGACAGAACGTTGCTTTTGTATTTGTATGACTGGATACACAAAAACAGTGTGCCCAGGATGCTATATTCCCCTGCCTTCTAAAATGTTGACATTTTCGGAATGATAACTCTGCTACCCAGCATATAAACATCTCTAAGGTCACTGCATCAATGTTATATCCAAGAACGAGGATCCCAGTATAGGAGAAGCAGACTCTGGTATCCGGTGAAAATATTCCAAACTGATGTGGTTGTGTTTTGATCGCGTTGGGCCCATCGCGGCTTCATTTCGCCGTCCCAGCCTTCCAGGACGGGGAGCTGAAGACGTTCAAAGCCACTAGATTTAATTTACGATTGCATTAAATAAAGAGCAAAAACAAGAATATTCTCATGTCCAATGTAAATAGTGATGAATTACTATTTTCAGCATCTGAATATCCCCGAGTCAGTACAGAGAACTAAGAAGGGCCTGCGTGCACTTTAAGAGCCCACTAATTTAACCGTGTGAGCAGCCAAGGCCACTGCAGTGTGTCCACTCGGTGACTAAAACAAAGCCCGACCCAGCGTTCTCTGCTGCGCTCTGCAGCTGCAGCGCATAACCGCTTGTTGCGTATCTGCTGAGGGACCACACGCAGGTTCAGTGCAGGTAAAATGGAATATAAGCTAATATAATATAACCGAAAATATGCCATTTAACGTGCAAAACGTGGCGTGTCTACAGATCTGCTGATCACAGTTCCAGAGGAAAGTGTCCGAGAGCCAAACTGAAGGCTTCTAAGCCGTCTATTTAATATTTCCGATGTGTCTGTGGATCATCTGGTTTGTGATCATCTGGGCCGTATAGCCGAAAGGCATTGATCCAAAACATTGCTTCCAATCCTCGGATCTGTTGGTGCGTTTAGTGATAAGTGAGGAATCTCCAGCATGTCAGTCAGGAGGCCACACTGCGGTGTGTTTGCAGGGGCCGACCCGCCACCTTCTGGAGCCTCTGCGCATGACGACGAACCACCGCAGCATTCTCCGTTTCACGGGGATCCAATAAAGAGAGCGGGATAAATAAAAACATTAGGAGACAAACGACTGCAATGGATGCTCAATAATGAAGATATGATCTAGGAACATTGAAAAAGTAACTGAGACTTGATAATTGTAAAAATCAACAATTTTGCCCCGGTATAAGGCGTGATTTGTGTTTGTGAGGGAGTGCATTAACTGTTCTATGCTCACAGGTCGGCATAGTAACAAGCCACTCAAGGCCAAGTTTCACAGCCATTACAGAACAAATGAGAACTGTCGTTAGCAGAAAGTGCTTTTTCAGTTGCACTCGCCTCAAGTGGCCAATTGCTTTTTATTGCATGTAATTATGCTTCAAATAACAACCATCAGACAAACTCAATAAAGCTGCTGGATTTTTTTATTTATTAATACCAATAAGCTAATAAGATTACACTAACGGTGCGGCAGGAGCCACGACCTTACCGACTGCTGAATGTTGGTGTGCGTGTGTGTTTACCTTTGCAGCGCACAAACACAGAACTTTCTCCCAGTCGACTACCGTTTGTGTCCAAGACGTTTTATTTTACTGTTGTTTTGTTGTATAACTTCCGTATTTATGAAGCCCGTTACATAACAGACACCTTTCCATGGAGTCAATAAACCTAAACCTACTTTTTGAAGAGATGCTAGCCTTGGAATCAGCGGACACTGTTCTCATTACATGGAGTCCTGTGAAATCACTGAAAATATGCAAACAGTACGTTTATTAGTGCAGATGCTGCCACTGACGCGTCCACCCTTGACACCAGTGGGTACTTGAACCGGTCTGAGTGGCGGCCGCGCAGAGGATATTAAGTCAATGTTATTTAAACTGGAGGCTTTGTTTGCATTGGTTTCAGCACCCGTTATTGTGACCAGTAATAGTCAGATATTGATAACTTATGCTGACCTAAACTTCTCTGCAATAACTAGCAGCTGCATGCTTCATCCCTTGTTTGCATTAAAAAGGAAGGGGGGGGGGGCTTGGTGCGTGTGTTCAACATCAACACACGCACATACAGCCAAGAGCTTCACATATACATTGCCGGTGTCTAGAGGCTGAATGCAGAATCCCCCATATAAATGTTTTATTACGAAAGTAATTGACAATTCCAAAAGAAGATTATTGCATCAAATAGTCAGAGTGCGGTTTTGCCCGAATCTGTTAGTGTGGGACGTCATCCTCCATACTGATGAGCTGTGGAAAGTCTCCTCGCTGCAAAGCAAACAGGCTTTTATGCTGCGCAGCAATTTAAGGAGTAATTCCGTCCATAGCTCAAAAGTACCGAAGGTTTTTTTTGTTCCTTTTTAAAACCGACTATTCTGAAAGGCGGAATAGTCTATTGATGTTTCAGTCTCCGTTGATCTTATCTTGTCCTTTCGGTACTGTTGCAGCTGCATTACTGCATGCTGCCCCTCTGCTTTTCAAGCCTCCGAGAGGATCCCAAAGGAACCGCCCCAGCATTCACGTCACGTTTTAAAAGAACACCCACGCTGCCAACGCTTCTCAAAGGCATTAGCGTAATGCCGTAACATTAACTTTGATATTAGCATGAAATGCCTGCACAGCATATTCGCCACCAACGAGGGCGGAGAACGGTTCACCCCCGGGTCCCTTTAGATGTCCCACGTCCCTCATAGCGAAGGCGCGTTGCAGGCGGCTCACCGGCTGTGCTGTCTGCTTCGCAGGTGATGAGTGAGTCGGAGGCGCGCTCGCTGCCCGGAGGCCTGGCCAGCGTGAAGAAACAGTTCGAGAGCCGGGAGTTTGCCTCCTCCACCTCCCAGTCCGCCGTCGCCCAGGTTCACTTTGAGCAGAGATCTGTCCAGGTGAGAGCAGCAGCTTTTCTTACCTTTTTAATTGCCGTGAGCCCAGTCTGAATGTGACTGCTTTCATGTGGCCCACATCAGCGACCGAGCTCATCAGCGAGAGGCGATTTTATTCAGTAACACGAGACGTATTCCAAAGGGAAGCTGGTGCTCAAAATCAACACCAGGAAATTTCCATTTTTTACCTTTCTGTGAGACGAAGTGATGTGGTAACAGCATCTGTATTGAACTATCAATAGACTGCAAAAAGTGGCATTTATTTTATCCCCCCTCTTCAAAGTCAACACGACGGGAAAGACCGAGCACAGCTCTGGCGTCTGTCAGAGGGAGAAGCGCGTAAATGCCACCGGATGATTTACATTCTGGCGTAGGCGCCTCCTCGTCTCGGGTCAAATCTTAAGAGGGCACCTTGAACTTTGCTCAAAAGTATGTGCCGCTGTCATCGAGCTCGTGAGGGGAAATGCCCGAACGCCGTTGTTTTGGAGCCTCGTCGCATCCGCCCCTCTGTGCATCCATGGAGGATGCACAACTTATTCTGACTCCAGTGGTTCCAGGAGTCTCATGTTAACAGCGGTGAATACAAGCTCCAATGTTTGATGTCTTTCTTTTCCTTCAAATTGCATGAAGCTCACAGGAGGCAGATGGCCGATGTAGTTGTGTTGTAGTGCTGTTCCTGTCATCTATTTATTCGCCTTTCAGCTGAATTAAACTTGGTAGTTATCTCCCTCTATTGGGAAGCGGTGGGTCGCCCCCCCACGATAGAAAGACAAATAGTTTCTTGCAGCTCAGTGGCACCTTCTGTGCGCGGCCATTTGTTCATGTATTTCGGATTCACGGGGGGTTTCACGTTCCTTCCTCCCTCTGCGCTTTGACAGGAGACGTCGAGCTCCTCGGAGGTGACGGTGAGAAGCAGCACCAGAGAGGTCGTCCCCTCCACGAGCCTCCTTCACGAACAACACCAGGTACCGGCTGTGGGCACAAGGGGTTCCAGCGTTTTGGGTTCCTTTGAGATATCGGAGGGTCACTTTAAGGGGGTCCGTGGTCGCCACAGAGGCAACGGTCTGAAGGTCAGCAGTAAACTCGGTCACTCTGCTCGGTGTTGTTAACCAGCTAGCTGAAAAGTAATTTAGTAAGCCTAATGTTGCTCATGAGGACTCGGCAAGAGAAGCTCTAATTTCTCTGGGGAGAAAAAAGTATTGGCTGAACTGATGAAGCAAAACGACCAAATAATAGTACGTTAAAAAAACGATGACGGCACAGTATGAAAAACGACATTAGACAGTAAGAACCTTCCTCTTGGTATAATCTGGCTGTTCAGGCCCACAGCAGCTTCTTCAATACAAATATCAAAAGTTCAGCTGCAATATTATGTAACCCAATTGAGTTGAGTTTGTCCATTAACTTCAAGGAACATTATTATTATAAGTGTTAGTTTAGGGTGAATTTAGGTTTAAATTAAATCTTGATATCATTTTAAACCATTATGGGAGCTCCCCAACCTTTAAACTTAAACTACATCTAGACTAAAGATATCTTTCTATATAAATCATTTAATTTCTCCACATTGTCCATTATTGGTTGGAATGATTAAGTCTATATACAGATAGTGTCTCCTTGACAGTTTTGTTTCTGGTAGTTACTGTTTTGGAAACACCTAATAACTCTTATTCATTTTTACATTGAAGGGGCCTTTAATGCATAGAAAACTTGTGTACACTGTACTCTTACTTCACTCCTCATGGTTCAGGTTTATGTAGTCCTCTTTCTTAAGGAAGAAATAAAAATGAAAAACGAAGGACTGGGTTTTAAACCACGACTTGACACCGGCTGTGTGGTGGCATCTCACCACTGATGGGCTTCTAATAAATTCAGTTCTTTGATTATTTCTTAACATTCTGTGTAGAGAATTAGCCCCATGCTAAGCCTTTAACTCCTCACAGATTGAAAACAGTTGGGGTCTGCAGTGCAGTTTCTATTTTGCTAATGATTTCTCTTTCCTCCCAGGTGATCCATGATGAAAGAGTGCACCAGAACCACGTGGCTGCCAGTTACGGGAACCACTACAACGAAACAGGTTATTCCGCTCATGGCTTTCAAATTCTAATTTGCACGTTTTTTATGATAACACTGCTTGTGTCCTGTATATTAATGATTGTTCCCACTACAGATGAATAAGGGATGAGTTATGAAAATGACTTGGAGTGCAGATTATTTTTCCTATTCAGTCCAAAGCAGCAAATCTAATCAGGGCAGTAGTCAAGCAGGTAAAATATTGGAAAGTAGAAATTGGGCAATCACAGCTGCATGGTTTCATAAAACAGGTTTTTAATGAAATAATGTATTTCTCTTTCCAATCCCCCTGAGCTCCCTCACTGCGAACGAGTTAATGAGGCAGCCTTCTTCTTGTGTCTAATTCAGTTATGGTCATTGGAGGAGAGGACCTACCGAAGGTTTCCACTCAGTCTTTGAAGCAGCAGTACGAGAAAACGATTGAGGAAGCTGCACCAGCCAAGGAAATTAAGGTAATGACGCTGTCTATTTATCTAAATACAAGATAGTTGGGCTTCCTCGTGAGACATCAGTTTTCAGGACGAAGCCAGGTCTTCAAAAATTCAAAAGCAAATTACCCATGGTTTAAGTTGATGGAGAATAAATTGGTTTGGATAAACAACATGTTTTCAGGTGTAAAAAGAACAGCTTTCAATACTGTCTTCAGTTAAAACGATGCTCAACCCTGTATATGAGTATATATTCATATACAAGGTTGAGCATCACTCAACTAGGTTTGATGGGCCAGAGCTCTTTCTGTATGTGGTTATTCAAATCCAGATGAGGCTTGTCCTTTGGAAAATAACATTAACAACAGGTACCATTTTATGATGATCTTTTTAAGTTGAACGTTGATACTTCATTTCCTCAATAACTCTTCTTCAAGGCTATCCTTTCCTGTCCTGTTCATGATGTAAAACATTCCAAATTCCTTTTTCCTATCTTCAACACAACCCTCATTTCCCTCTCTCCTTAACCAAAACCAATAACAACACCACAGGTCGATGTGGATTTCAACCAGTTTCAATGGGCACCAGTGACTCAGTCCTCCACGTCAAGCTACGACGCCTCGTCCACCGTAAAGACGGCCACTCGCACTGCGTCATCAGTGGCGTCTGCCTCGTCATTTGCTTACGAACTGACGGATCATTTCCCTCCTCCACCCTCAAACCTGCCACAGGACACCCCTGACCATGTTTCTTCCCAGCCTCAGGAGCCAGCCTCCCAACACAAACACGCTAATACTAAGGAGCAGTACTTTAAACACAAGAGTACAGCTGAGCTAAAGCGCCTCTACAAGCACATCAATCCAGAGGTCCGCAAGAACCTCCAGGAGGACTTCTTGAGTGAGCTCACCGAAGCAGAAAGAAAGGACTTGGAAAGCGAGGAAATGATTGGAGATGTCCAGCAGGCGTGCTACTTGTTTGAGAATGACGGCAATGGCTCAAGCAAGTGTTCGAGCCCTGACAGGGAGTACGTGGAGTGGGATGAAATCCTCAAAGGCGAAGTGCAGTCCATGCGCTGGATGTTTGAGAACAAGCCATTAGATACGATCAAAGACGACAACCCGGGGGAAGACCAGGTGGGGAATATTGCCCAGCAGGAAATCATTGCCGGGAAAGACGTCAGACACACGGCTTGGATGTTTGAGACTCGGCCCATTGATGCTCTGGGGACAGACGCTGTTGATGCAACCGGGCAGTCGCAGAAATCAACAGCTGATCTCGCGAGAGGAGACGTCCGCACCGCCACGTGGCTTTTTGAGACGCAGCCACTTGATTATTTGAACAAGATCTACCAGGAAGACGAGCAGGAGACGGCCGTTGTCGTTAACAGAAGCATCACGGGCGGAGATGTGAAAACCGCCAGATATCTCTTTGAGACCCAGCACCTGGATTCCCTGGGTAAAACGGAAACCATCGAGGAGAGCAACTTCCTCAACCTGAAGTCTGAGCTGGAGGAGGTCAAAGGGGACGTGAAGACGACCACTCGCATGTTTGAGACCCAGCCCATGTGTGTCATCAGGGGGGATTCGGGAGAGATGCTGGAGATCACCACCATCCGCCGGGAGGAGACTGAGAAGGGAGACGTCAAGACGTCACGCTGGATGTTTGAAACCCAGCCCCTGGATATTATTAACAAAGACCCAGCCGTGGTGAAGCTGATTTGTGGTATCTCCATGGAGGACGACGTCCAAGTTGGTGTGAACAAAGGCAGGTGGCTTTTCGAGACAAAGACCCTCGACACCATCAGGGATGAAGAATGGGAGAGTTCCAGGAAGCAAAAGGAGGACATAATTGGTACGGACGTGAGGAAGCACTGTCTGGTTTTCGAGACTCAGGCTATGGACACACTGAAAGACAACGCCAATGCTAGACCGTTACCTTCTGAGGAGATAGTAGGAGGAGATGTTCAAACGGCAAAACACCTGTTTGAAACGGTCCCCATGGAAAATCTGAAAGAACTGCTGGAAGTGGGGAAACTTCAGAAAATGGTTGCATCGGAAGAAGAAAAGGGCGACGTTAGACATCAAAAGTGGGTCTTTGAGAGCGAGCCGCTGGAGAACATAAGGGAGGAGAAGAAAGAGATTACAAGAACGGTGAACCTTGAAGCTGTTGACAAAATCGATGTGACCAATTACAAAGAAAGGTTTGAAAGTATGGATTTAAGTAAGTGTGAAGGAACGCAGAAAATCCAAGTTGAAGGCGTCACGAGTGGATCCGTCAGATCCAACAGAGTTCTCTTTGAATCCACCCCTATGTACGCGATGCAAGACAGCTCCGGCCATTACCACGAGGTGAAAACCGTGAGGCGCGAGGAGATTGTGAAGGGAGACGTGCGCAGCTGCCGATGGATGTTTGAAACCCGCCCCATCGATGAGTTTGATGAAAGTATCAATAGGTTTCAGATCATAAAAGGTATATCGAAGCAGGAGGTGGAGTCGGGGGATGTCAAAACGGCCAAGTGGTTGTTTGAAACTCAAGCGCTTGATTCCATTAAATCTTTTGGTCAGTGTGAGGACGAAGAACATGCATGCAAGGAAGGTATTGAAATTGAGAAGGGAGACGTCAAGACTTGCAGGTGGCTATTTGAGACTCAGCCGATGGATGCTCTGTACGAAAAGATGGAAAAAAGCGAAGTTGACGTCGAGGAAGTTCAAAGAGGTGACGTCAAAACGTGCACGTGGCTCTTCGAGACCCAGACACTTGACAACATACGTGACCACACCGAATCCGAGACCATTCTGAAAACCTGCACGGTGAAACAAGACGACGTCCAAGGAAAAGACGTGCGACTGGCCCGCTTCCTTTTTGAAACGGAGAACCTGGAAAATCTCACTGGCGAGGACGGCGGTTCCTTCAGGAGGGTCACAGAAATTGACGTCCAGTCGGGCGATGTCTCCAGGATGAAGTACATCTTTGAGAATCGCTCCTCGGACATCATGAGCTCCAGCTCTGGGGAAACCATGCAGAGGCTGAAGACGCAGCAGGTGGAAGAAATTCAGAAAGGCGACGTGGTGAACTGCACCTGGATGTTTGAGCATCATCCCATCGATAACATCCGCGACGAGTCGGCGGACGCAAAGGAAAGTCGCACCGTGACTGACGTCAAGGGAGGCGACGTCGATAAGGGCCGCTTCATTTTTGAGACCTACTCTCTGGATGAAATTAAGGAGGATTCTACGGAGACTGACAAATCAAAAATCACAAGTATCTTCAGAGAAGAAGTGGAGAGGGGAGATGTGAAAAATTACACCATGATGTTTGAAACTCAGCCGCTGTATGCAATCTGTGACAAAGAGGGCCGTTATCATGAAGTGACCACGGTTACTAAGGAAGAAATCATTAGAGGAGACGTGGTGGGGGCTCGGTGGCAGTTCGAGACAAAGCCCCTGGATTCAATTAGAGATTCCGAGGAGGTCTACGTTATCAAAGCCGTGACTGAGGAAGGCATCAACAAAGGAGACGTTAACACTGCGAGGTGGAGGTTTGAAACGCAACCTCTGGATGAAATTACCGAGGAAGGAAAAGTCAGGTTGAAAAGCGTGGCGGATATTCAAGGTGGCGATGTGAAGACAAACAAGCAGCGATTTGAGACCGATGAGATGTCTCAGAGGTATGTCAAAACTGTCAGCGTGAGCGAAATCCAAAAAGGCGACGTCAGGTCTGCCACGTGGATGTTTGAAACACGCACAATTGACGAGATCCGCGGCGAAGGCGCAGAGTATGATGGCATGGAGAGAGTGACAAAAGAGGAAGTAATGAAAGGGGATGTCAAGCAGTCTGTGTGGCTCTTTGAGAAGCAGCCTCTTGACACTATCAAAGAGACCGACGGCACAGAGCTTGTTGTCACAAAGGAGCAAATCCCGCAGGCCGACGTGAAGTCGACAACATGGTTGTTTGAATCCACTCCGTTCAATGAATTCAACGAGAGCGAAATGAAAAGGACTGAAATAATGGGTAAGAGCATCAAAGACACACTTGAGGAGCTCTACTCTCAGAAAATGGTCGAATCCCAGGGTGTTCTCATTGAAGCAGACGAGATCGGTGACGTGCGCATGGCAAAGTACAATCTCATGAACCAGAAGGCGCCCCAAATCCAGAGAGAGGAGACCATCAGAGGGGACCTGAGCAACATAATGATGAACCTCCTGAGCCGCAGGGAGGTCACCGAAAGGGGGATAACTATCGACAGCGAGGAGCGGGGCAACATCAACACCACGGTGAGGCAGCTATTCAACCAGGAAAGGGGAATCAATGTGGAGAAAGAGGAAATTGTCCGCGGTGACATTCAAGAGGCCGTAAACAATCTCCTCAAGAGTGAGGGCTCCTCCAAGCGTGGCATTCTGATTCAAGAGGATGAGAAAGGAGACGTGAAGTTGACTATCTACTCCCTCTTGAACAAAGGGGAGCGGGCCAGCATGGAGAAAGAGGATATCGTTCAAGGGAACGTAAGCAGAACGCTCCACCGCCTCCTCTCCAACTCCGGGGGAGAAGACTCCAAAAAGATACGGGTCGGAGACAAGGAAAGGGGCAACGTCAGCTTTTACTCCACGTGCATTGAATCGGGCGCCTTGGATTATCTGAAGCAGCTCCAGTACGAACCTGGTGAAACCCAGGAAGAATCGAGAAAGGAGAACATCATAGGCGGGGACATCCAGGAGACCAAAATCTTGCTGCGGAAGAGTCAGCAGGAGATTGGTCGCACGGTGGCCAAACACGAGATAGTTCCTGGTGACGTGCACAGCAACGTAAAGGTCTTCATGACGGAGCCTGCTGTTACCTACAGAAACCTGGAGAAAAGGGATATTGTCAAAGGTGACCTCAATGCAGCCCTGGATTCTCTGACCCAGGCCATGAATCAAAAGGTTTTAATAGAAAAAGAGGAGGTGGTGAAGGGAGACATCCCGACTACTCTGAAGTCTCTGGAGGAGGCCCAGCATCAAGCCAAGGAAATGGAAAAGCCTGAAATTATCAGAGGAGATATTAAAGGTGCTCTAGAGTCCCTGGAGAAATCAGCAACCACCAACACGGAAGTCACAGTCGAAGATTTAGTGCCAGGCGATATCAAAGGGACCCTGAAGTCCCCGGAGGAGGCCAAGAAAGCGGTGAAAGAGGTTGAAAAAGAGGAGATCCTCAAAGGGGACATACACATAGCCATGCAGAGTTTACACGAGGCAACGAGTGAGAAGAAGACTTTCCAGCATCAAGTGAGCGAACAGGGAGATGTTAGAGGCACCATTCAGCTCCTGCTGGAGCCGACTTCTCCCAGACTTCAGCGCCGCGGGAGCGTCGAAGGAGACGTGAAAACATCCATAAAATGCCTCTATGAAGGACAGGAGGCAACACGGGTGGAAAAGGAGGAGGTCGTAAAAGGCGACGTTCGAGGGGCGATAAAGAATCTGATGCAGAGAAAACAGTATTCGAATCTGAAGCGCACACACCCCGCTAAGAAAGCCAAAGTGCCCGTGAAGAATCCATTAAGTGCAAAGCCAGCTGAGCGCGAATGCTTACCGAAAGCCCAGAGTGAGAGGGAGGGAGCCGATCCATCCCCCGCTGTGGAAAAGCTCTCTCAGAGCGCTGAGTCACAGAAGCACACGGAGAGGCACAATGAAAGCAAATCAGTGAAAACCCAGGTAATAACCCAGGAGGCCCACTCTGTTACTGTGGCCAAAACAGATAATACCACTGGGGCCGCTCAACAGATGAGCACGAGAGAACAGAAGCAGCAAGTTCTGCCCCCGCAGAAAACACCGGCTCCTAAGTCTATTCTGGTACCGGAGAAGCAGATGACTATCAGCGAGCAGGCTGCCGTGGACGTGATGAAAGAGGTGCAAAACATCAGAACATCAACTCACACCAATATTTCAAGCAAACAAGTGTGCGAAACAAAGTCAATCAAGCAGGTGCACGCCACGGCGACGGAGAGGACGGCGGTCGTTCGGAGGCAAACCGCCGCGGAGCAAACGTCTCTGGTCCAAGCGGAGAACCGGGCGCTCCTCCAGAAGCACAGCGCAAAGAATACAGAGACGACGACGGCGGCGGCGGCGGTCGTTCAGAGGCAAACCGCCGCGGAGCAAACGTCTCAGGTCCAAGCGGAGAACCGGGCGCTCCTCCAGAAGCACAACGCAAAGAATACAGAGACGACGACGACGGCGGTCGTTCGGAGGCAAACCGCCGCGGAGCAAACGTCTCAGGTCCAACTGGAGAACCGGGCGCTCCTCCAGAAGCACAACGCAGAGAATACAGAGACGACGACGACGGCGGCGGTCGTTCGGAGGCAAACCGCCGCGGAGCAAACGTCTCTGGTCCAAGCGGAGAACCGGGCGCTCCTCCAGAAGCACAACGCAAAGAATCTGAACAGTGGCCACCGCAGCCTCGCCACCAGAGGTGATGGTGGGACTAAGAAGGTCAAGCCGGAGATTCACTTCCCCCCTCCTCCCTCTTCGCCGCCTCCGCCCTCCGAGTCGGAACTCTCCCTCCCCCCGCCGCCCTCGCCGGAGGGCCTGGCGCGCCCCCCCTCTGTCATGAGGCAGGACAGTGACCTCCCGCCGCCGCCGCCACCGCCGCCCCATGAAGGGAAATCCCGAGGCTGAGTTTTTCCCTCTCCCTCCGCCTCCCCCCCCTCCGCCCTCTGTGGGCGGCCAAGATTTCCTCCCGCCACCTCCCTCGCAGCAAGAGCTCCACGCGGCGCCGCCGCCTGCAGGGCGGGGCAAACCGATAGGAAAGCCTCTATTCAAAGTGCCCACGCAAGCAGAGACACAGAAGCAGGCAGTACAAATGAAACCCAAATGGCAGAAAAAGCAGCCGACGCCCCCAACACCACCACCACCACCCACTCAGCCCCCTCCCTCCCGGGCAGAAATGTCAATGGAGCAGAAGGAAGGAGCTGAAGTTCAGACAGTGAAGAAGATTGAAACAAGCGAGCGGGTCCAGTCCGAAGTGACGGCGTCAACAACAAAAATCCCGAGCATCCCAGCTGTGAGCCCGAAGCCACCGAAGAAAAGCTTCGTCCCTCCCATCAAGCTGCCCCCACCTCCTGAACCCGCTCCGCCCGCAAAGCCGAAAACCTACGCTCGGAAATTTAAAACGCCTCTCATGCTCGCAGAGGAAAGGTACCGCCAGCAAATGGAAACAGAAGAAATAGCCAGGAGCAATGTCACCACTCCCACTTCTCCACCCGTCAAGAGGCCCTCGTCCGCTGCCGCGAGGAGCGCAGAGACGGAGGAGGCCGTGGACGCGTCAAAAGCAAAAAGCGGAGAAGCTACGGCTGTTTCCACAGACGGAATAATGCCTGCCAAGAACACGGATTCCCAGATCCCTTTGAGCAAACCGCTGATCTCAGTTTTAAATAAGAAATCACAGTCTGGATCTTCAAACGTGTCCGTGGATAAAACAAGCGTCACCAGCCAGCACGTGGAAAAAATGGCCTCAAATGAGGTTGTTAACAAGACTCAAGCCGCTCACAAGCAGCAGACGGTTTCCTCTTCGCAGGCCTCAAATATTGAGAAGCAGTCATGCTCGAATGTGGGTCACTTCTTCGGTCACGGAGCAGCAGTTTATTAAGAAATCCGGCACCAGGTGCGTCACGGCTGTCCAGGAAAATGTAAATCTCCAGACCGCGGCCGCGTTGACAGCTGAAGATGTGAGGAACAGAGGTGCGCCTCTGACGCCGGGGGCCAAAATGAGTCCCTCTCAATCCACTAAAATTCCAAAGGCCGCCCCGAGTTTCAAGGTGAAAACCTTTAAGATGCCGACGGAGACTAACGAGGAGAGATGTGACACGCACTCGCAGCGGGAGGAGAGCCAAACGAAAGGGATTCAAAGGAGCCATCTGACGTCCGCGAGAACCGAGATGAGGACGGAGATGACCGTAAAGGAGAAGAAAAGTCACGTGACCGCACAGGATGTGGAGCAGGACGTGCACGTTGAAAAGGGAGAGCAGGTACAGAGGCACGTGGCCGACGTGAAGCCGTCCCCGCCGGTTACTCTCTCAATGCCCGAGGAGGGGAAGATGGCACCGGCACCAGCGCATAGCGGCCACGTCTCCGTCTCCGTCTCCCGTGGCTGTCAGCAGAGCGTCAGGACGGAGAGCGTCAGGACGGAGCGCGTCCAACGCCACGAGGAGGCGGTGCTGACCGAGAGCGTGGTGCAGCAGAGACGAGAGGCCGCGCACGCGAGGGCGCACAAAGCGGCTCGCGGAGACGAGTCTCGCTCCGGAAAAATCTCCGATTTGGAGAAATGCCGTGTGATGCAGAGGCTGCTTGCCGAGATGAAAGAGCTGGAAGGCGCGCCCGGCAAAATGGACTCCGACGCCGTCGGGGTGATAATGAGCAAACTGCCCGACTGGGCGATGGGCTCGGACGAGAAGAGGAACTTTGGTGAAATAGCTCAACAGCAAAGTAAGAAGAAGCTGAAAGAGATGATGGTCTACGTGAGGAATATCTGTCACGCTAAACTCTCGCTTCTGGAGGAGAGCGCGAAGGCCGCAGAACAGCCGGGCCAGGAAAGGGACGCCGCGCCGCCGAGACCGGACGCCGGCTCTCCCGCCGCGACAAGCGCGACGGTCTCGAAGATCAGCATCGGCTCGTCCCTCCAGGAGAGGAAGGTCCACCGGGAGCAGTGGGAAGCGTCCGACCGGAGGGTGTCCTCCCCGCTGGCGAGCGTCCGCACCCCGTCGCCGACCTTCATCAGCATCGAGTCGAGGAGGATCGACTCGCAGTCGCGGGTGACCCCGTCCCCTCCACCCTTCAGGGCGGTCGGTACGCCTCCGCCTCCGCCGCGCAGGTCACACACACCCACGGCCGCCTCCCGGGCCACGCCGTCCCCCACTCTGTGCCGCTCCGAGAAGCTGACGAAGCTGAGGGACACCACCTCCAAGCTCTCGCGCAGCATGACCCCTCCCCCTCCGCCGCCGGCGCCGGCGTCGGACTGCGTCTTTGCCGAGAGGGAGCAGTGCTCCCCGTTTCAGGTCGGGGAGCCTCCAGCAGACGGAGGCGAGGAAGGCTCGGTCGACATGGCCGAAATGGTGGACTCCATGATGACCGTGAGGGACAAAAAGTCCTTCTTCGAGGAGGCGCAGAAGGTGGAGGGGAGCAGGATGTACACCCGGAAGGATCCCATTGACATTCCGGAGCGCTTGGGGCCCGACGCCGAGGAAGGCGCTGCGGCGGCGATGGACGTTTCGAAGGCGGATCTCCCGAAGGTGGACCTCTCCAAGCTGGTGAACAGGTTTGAATCCCCACAGCCGAAGGTCTACGCCAGGAAAGAGCCCATTGTCATCGCGGAGAGGCTGGGCAGTGACACGGAGGACGCCGAGGCCGACCCGCCGAGGACCGACGAGGTCCACTCGTTCAACGTCAGAGCCATAAAGAACGTGTTCGAGACCGGCGAGCACGGCTCCCAGGCTGCCCGCGAGCTCCGGGAAATAATCGAGCGGAGGGAACCCGAGGCGGCCCGCCCCCAGGCGGCCGCTCGCGCGGAGACGACCGTGGTCACCGAGCTATTCTGCGCCGTCGACGACGCGACAGCTCACCGGCCCGGCAGCTCCGCGGCCCGCGGCAACCCCCCGTCCTACGCCGACGTGGTGCGCGGCGCCGCCCAGGCGGCCGACGTGCCCGCCGACGTCTCCACCGAGGAGCTGCTCAGGAGCTTCCAGCAGTCGTGGAGCGAGAGCCAGGGGGTGTTCCAGAACCTGGGGTTCAGCGTCACGGAGCAGAGGAGCTCGCAGGTGGTGACGCGCCAGCAGGCGACCGTCGTGACGGGTAAAGCGGCGCCGGCGTGGAATGCGGACACTAAACGGGCGCGGCGGTGTGCTTAACCCGCTTGAGCGTGACGGCTGCACCGCGTGGAAAGCAGAGAAGCACTAACATCGGTTTCAACCTGTTATTCACGTGCCGTGACTTTTTCTTTGGTGTGTTTCCCCTTTTATGTGAACCGTTCACATCAAAGCTCAGAGCTGCATTCAGTTTAGATGGTGTCCGTGTTTTTTTCATTATTCACAGGTTCCCACTTGGTGCTGCTGATGCTTGAAGGTGGCGGCATGCTGAACTAATATCTCTCATTCTTGTGTGTGTGTGAGATTCAGAAGTGTCTCAAGAGGGAAGAAAACAGTCCTTTTCATTCATTTGGATTCATTTGGATTCACCGTTTCATGTTGGGTTCATGGAGTGAATTCAAAAACAGTGTATTTTAACAACAGAATTAATGACGTTTTAAAAGCTTTTGCAGTAATTACTGAAATCCCTCGAGAACCATATTAGTAAATGAATTTCAATGCGGATGCCAATTACAGCAGCAAATAGACATTCGGTTCCAGCTTTAATTTGTTGTCACCCAGTATAACAGTTAAATTAAAGTTTTGTAGTTTTGCACCTATTGGTGGTCTTCCTAGAAAGAGCTCTGTAATTTGATACGAATTCATGAACCACAACTTTTGTTCTTAATTTACTCATCCATAAGCAGTAATTAGGTTATTAGAGACAAACTCTTAGTAATGTAGCTGATGCAAATAATGGGTGGGGTGTTTTTTCCGAATAAAAGCTAAATGATGATAAATAAGGATTATTTCCCATTTTGTATTGTTCATTTTCACAACCCCATCGTCTAAACATCTTAAAGCCCTTGAAAAGTGCTTTAGAAGGATAAATATACCGCCAATATGCTACTAATATGCATGCTAATGAGCAAGTATTTCATAGTGAATGTGGACCAGAACATAGTCCACATTGCGTAGCATTGACAATAGGAATAGCTTCTGTAAATATGTGTTGATTCAACATGTGTGGTGCTTTAAAGACTCTTAATTGGTCTCCAACCTTCAACGACCCCCAACGGGGTCCCAAGATGAATCAGGGAGGTCAAAAGATTATTTAAGGGACGAGAAAAGGTCCAATTTATTTCAGTTTTTAGTATTTTAACCTGGTAATATTGATTAGTTTATATCTACACACAAGCTGCTTCATTTGAAAGGGTTTCAACTAAAAAAAAAAAGCGAAAAACACAAGTCAAGGCTTCACTAGCAACTAATTGGAATGAAATAATTGCCAACTTGACAAGTTTACATCTTCAAAGCAAGTGACCACCTTTTCATGAATTTTAAAACTCCCTCATTTCTTGGCAGAAAATTCGAGTTCCCGAGTCCGAGCTGTGCCGGGCGTGTCGGAAGAGGGTTTACCCGATGGAGTCGCTCTACGCCGACAAACACAACTTCCATAGGAGCTGCTTTCGCTGTGAGCACTGCAGCGGCAAACTAAGGTGACGCCATTTCGCCGGGCGGAGCGCCGCCTTCTCCTCGCTCCCCTCGCGCCGCTTTTAACCCGTCGCTGTCCCTTCCTCTCGTCCACAGCCTCGGAAACTACGCCTCTCTCCATGGACGAATGTACTGCAAGCCACACTACACGCAACTGTTCAAATCCAAAGGAAACTACGACGAGGGATTTGGACAGAAACCACACAAAGAACTATGGAACAACAAGAACCAGAACATTTCACCCGAAAAGACCAAAACCAAATCCCCGCCACCCGAAGGGAAGATCCCAGATTCCAGAATTCCCGCTGCTCAGGGCGCCTCCGGTACCCGGGGAGCCGACGCGAGGAAACCGGACGACGAAAGCCAAAAGCTCGGCGCCAAGATGTCTGTGGTGTGGCCCCCTCAGCCGGATTCTCCGAAGAAGTCCTTCGCCTTCGAGGAGGAGTTGAAGCTGATGAAGCCCTCGTGGCCCCCGAGGGAGGACCCGGCCCAGGAGATGAAACGCCCGAACCCTTCGTCGGAGGAGACGGATCGCCCCGCTGCGCAAGTGCAAAATGGACCCCAGGAAAATGACGAGATGCGAGAGAATGTGACAAAGCGGGAAGAGGCCGCGGACCCGGCAAGTGGCGATCGCAGCGGAGAAACGGCGCCGGCACAAGTGGCTGCCGAGGTGGACTCTGAAGTGCGGCCCGGAAGGGGAGAGAAGGAACAAAGGCAAGTGGGAGGCACGACGGTGGAGGAAGATGCGGGGAGTCACGGGCCAATTGAAAGCGCGGCGGGGGAGAAGGCAGTGGAGATGGATGAGCAGGACGCGGACGCCATCAGTGGGCAGCCGGTAAAGGTCACTGTAATAGACGAGGTTCCGGCGGGGGAGGGCCGGCCACTCAATGCAAACTCCAACAATAACAATAATTCCGGCCAGACGGCGGCGGGTCACGCCTACCGGTTTCAAGGGCCGAGCGAGGTCAAGGCAGAGGACGCGGGAACAACGGAGCACCGGCAGGAATCCAAACGGATGTCGAGCGAGGGGCCGCGCTGGGAGCCGGGGGACGCGGAGGCGATAGAGGGGGCGCTCGCTTCTGGAAGCGAGCCAGAGGTCAGCAAATTGAGCTCCCTGGAGGACGTCTTCGCGGGCCTGAGCACCGACGGCTCCAGCCTGCTATCAGGTTTCCGATCGGACGCCTTCGGTGCCCTTTCGGATTTCGCGGCGGCGGCGCGGGAGGGCGCAGACGCAACGGGAGACGTCAGGCAGAAGAACAATGGCTTCGGGGAAGAGGAGGAGGAGGAGGAGGCCCTGACGGTGGAGGAGCAGATCAAGAGGAACAGATACTACGGCGGCGACAGCAGCGACGGCTCTTAAACTTCCTCGGCCCGTTTCAACCGCTGACAGAACGGCGCCGACCACATTTCACGTCTCATGTCCATGGAGAGATGAAGCAACCCGAATGGGTTTTTTGTACCGCCTTTTAAGACGACATTTCTGTTTCTGTTATTCAATAGCTAGCTTTTACTTGTTTGATGGGATGCACCTGGTGTGCAGGGATCGGGTCTTTCTTATATTACGTAGAATGCATATCTATATATTTGCCCAATGATCTAAACCAGCTATTTTCAAATAAGAGCATTGATTAAAAACTGCTTTTTCCTCTGAACCAGTGTTTTTCTTATGTGTTTGAATAAAGAGGCTTTTCCCTTTCACTTCTTTTTTGTCATTTCTGTCCCGTTTTCCATGGTGGAACTAAAGGTTCACCAACGCGACGATATATGAGTTTTTAATCAGCGAGCGCAAAGCCCATAATAGTACTTATAGCCGTGCCTCCTTTGTGGGGCCGGCTAGTTTGATGTACGACCTACCGGGGAAACACTGTCGGGCCCAGATCTCTCCGGCGAAAAGGCGCATTGATTTTCACTGATGGAGCAGGCCTGTGTAGGAGCAACAGATTTTTCCATTAGGTGGCTTTTGTCACCTCTGACAGACCCCCCCCCAAGCCCCCACCCTCCGCTCACCTCTCCTCGGTTACAGCTTCAATAGGCGAGGTAATTGGCTGCGATGAGAATATACTTCGCCGTTAATTACAGCGGTGTAAAAACTACTTTAGAGTCAGAAACGTGGCGGCTGCCGGGTCAGCGTCTCACTGACGGCTCCTTTTTTAAGTGCCTCGATAATTCAGCTTTCCTGAAATGTTTTTTTTTTTAATTGGGCTATTTTTTTACTTTTTGGGAAATATTTTCATCGACAATCCAAAGTAGATGCTGTTTTTATGTTTTAATTGTTTCCTCCTCCTGCCAAACCCATTAAAAAACCGCAGACAGGAGAGGAAAAGATAATAAAAGGTGTCCATAAACAACTTGTGATGATGTCCAAATCGGTGCTCAATGTTGCAGTGAAAACTGCAGGTTTGTCCATAAGCCAACCGGCACATTCTGGGGCCAGAAAGCGCTCGCTTGACAAAGTGTGTTGATTATGTTGAGTAAGCGGGTGACTTCAGGAAAGCGATCGCTTAAGCGCCACATGCTGCCTGGTGCCACGTAGTCCCATTTTATCACAGAGAAGGCAGCTATCTCACACCGTGAGCAAATTAGACTGATAAATAGCACTGGAGGTTAGAGGTAGAATATTTATGCTTGACTTCTGCCTTTGAAGATCAGTTCCCATTGACAAAAAGCAAAAGGGATTGTTACTAAGCGACTGTAAACAATTAACAAAATGTTAAAATATAGGGGAAGTGATGAATGAGACGTGCATGTGGTGTCAAAGTTGAAAATATAACTTATAATATAGCACATTATGCTGTATTTAAAAGTAACACCCGGTCAACTTTCCTAAACCACTACAAGTATTAAATATGTTCTTTGTCGTATTTCTAGAATCCAACAAGTTGTTTCATGCAGTTAATCAGTAATACATGATCAATCAAATTGCATGAAATAATTTAATCATAATTGAGTTTAAATGAATTAAAGAGTTTGATGCCGTGTAGTAAATGCACTTTATTGTGTTCCAATTCCTGTTGATTGATATTGATCAACTCATGAAGTGAACGCGTAATTGAAAGTATTAAATTAAGATGGTCTTGGAAAAAACATGACCCGCCCGTTTGAGTCCTAACGGAACCTGTCAATCATCCGACTCCACTGAGAACGTCCCCGTCGCAGCCGAACCGGGACGCGGGGAGGTCGGGGGGCGGGGGGTTCGCTCGCGCCCAGATGCCATCAGGTCGCCCGTGCATGACGAGCCGCTCTGATTGGCTGTCATCCTCTCGGAACGGACGCGACGCGCTGATTGGACAGCACCTCTCCTCCGGCCGGCCGCAGCCTCCCCCCCCCCCCCCCCCCTTCCCCCGCCCCCTCTCCGCCCCGCCCCCCTCAAGCGGAGAAGGTGCGTGCGGAGCGGACGGCGTTCGGCGGCGAAAAGGAGGCGCTCTACCGGCGGGACACGGAGGACGACACCGGTAGGTGCTGAAAACGGGGTTGGCAGAACGTCGCGTCTCGCTGGACGCCCGCTGGCGGCTCTCGGCCGCTCCGGGTGGAAGTGAAACGGAGTTAACGGGCTCGCGAAGTCCGTCACGCGCGGTCTCTGTGTCACCCGCGCGGCCGAGATGCTCAGCGCGCGCGCGGGGGTTAAATTGTCATCGACTTCGGCGCGAGACGCTGCCGAACTCCGCGGCGGTTGAACCCGCGTGTGACGGCTTTCAGCGCGTCTCCCGCGGCTCGGTGCGGTGCTTTTATTTCAATTTAACTGTGTGTGTGTGTGTGTGTGTGTGTGTGTGTGTGTGTGTGTGTGTGTGTGTGCGCGCGAGAGAGAGAGACAGAATGCATCCAGATAAGTGCACGAGACGAACTGCGCGCTTTGCACCCTAAACAGCTGCCGTTAATCCGCGCCACTTAACGTGGACCCGATAATCCCATCACCCGTTACGACGGACACGTGGGGGGGGTAGAACCCCCTCCGCGGCGGGCTGCTCGTTTTTACCCGGTTAAGTCGAGGGGTCACGGCGGGGTCCCTCCCCTCGCCCGAAGACCCCCGTTTCTAAAAGACGCATTCTGACAGTTACTTTCGGACCCTTATTTATTTATTATATATATAATAATATGTGTGTATACAAGGTGTTCATTGACATCAGCCTGTTTGATGCAGCCTGATCTTAATATATAATGGCTGATAACTCCACATACACCTATTTTTATTCCGATAGTAATTGTGGGTCATTGAGAGACCCTCTGAATTTATGACCGGGGGCGATATTGTATTTCATTGCGTCTTGCTTAAGTTGATGGTGTTGATTTTCTCTTTTCACTGTGAACATCCTCACATGAGAGACTAGGAGAAGAAAATAAACGCTTTATCCTTGTAATTTATGGGACGAAGGATGTTTACTAAAAAAAACAACATGTGTCCCGTCTGTCTGCGTGTGTGCCAACGACATGTAAGGCGACCCATGTTTCCATTTGGTTTGTCATCTGACGACCTCGCGGACTTCTGAGATCTCTGATGCTTCTAAAGTCCCAAACGGCCGATGTTCTCACCATTGCACCAGATGCTCTTGATGACATCATACTGTTTTTGATTGGAATTCCTTTTACGGTGCGACTGCCCCCCCTCCGTCCCCCTGAACTGAATGTGACAGTGATGAATGGCGTTTGTTAAAAGCGAAATGAAGAAGTGTATTGCAAACCGGCTTATTAACTCGGACACAATTTCAATTTATTTTCATGCTGCTTCTCTTGTCAACACAATTACAGAGAGAATCTGAGAAATGTTTCTGACCCCCCCAACAACGTCCGCACACCGAGAGGAACCCATCACAGAGGGGGTGGGGGGGGGGGCAGCAATCATAGAGACGTGATTGTGCGGCGGTGGCGAGCAGATGTCACATGAACACGCTGATCGGCAGGTGAAGAGAGGACATCGTAAATGGCAGGAAGCAGGAAGACGGACGGTTTATTTCCTGATTTGCCGTAATAGTCGACGTTAACCCGCGCGGGTTTTCGCTCCCCGTGGCGCTTCACTGCATTTCTTTCCCACAATGCAAGCAGGTGCTGCTTCAACGACAGAAGCTAAATATACGTGAATGGAAACGGGATCTGTGCTGGGAGCCACACACTGCCGTACTCACCAACGCGTCCGTCTTATTACTGGATTTTAATTCCAACTCCCACAATTAGTGTTTTAACGAAGATGCTTTTCAGCTGGCAGCTGTGGATTTTAAAGACACAAGATGCATTTATTCAAACTGCCCAGAATAAAACCAATCTGCTGGCTGTCCAGCTCACCAGTGTCTGTTCAGAGACGGGGATCGCTTCCCACAGAGGACTCGTTAATCCAAGTTATCTCCGATCAAACATTTGATCTCTCTCCTTTCCATTTGCTCAGCAGAAGAAGAAAGGCAGGCTTCTTCTTCTTCTTCTTCTTCTTCTTCTTCTTCTTCTGCTTCTTCTTTTCGTTTTTGCAGCCGAGAGCCACAGACGACCTCGTCGGCGGGTTCACAGAATAGCTCGTGTTTCAAAGTCATCGCTGAGATTTCGGGGTATCATCCGTGTAACTGAACAGATCACACGGGTCGTCCCACCTGTCGGAGTCACGCGGCGGATCGGGAGCCAATAGAACCTTCTAGAGATGGCGATGCAGGTCTCCAGCCACGTCGGCCGGAACGCACCCGGTTTCTGTCCGACATTCTAAATCCGATCCGTTTGCTGTGTATCTATAACAGCATTATTGGATGTAATGATGTGTTAGAAGCAGCTTGGGACTAAAGGGGATAAAACGCTCCTAATTCCTCCTCTCGTATCTATTTTCTACTGTGAGAACGCCTTCAAACAACTGTTTCAGATTGTATCAAACCCACATTTCACGTGATTACGTTTAACATCAATCAATCCGAAAACCCCCGCGTCATTGTTCTTTACTGGGCCCCCGTTTCTGAATAGTTGATGACGAAATTGTTCAATTGAATCGCAAAACCCGCGGGAAGCGAAACCCGCTGCCCCGGTTTGACCCGCTGTCATGCAAACGGGTTTATTTTTCCCGCACGTCACCTCACAATTTAGATGTGACGTGTGCCTGACTGCACCGTAGGCAGGAGGCTCCAGCTCATCTGTCATCTTTGGTTTGGACTCGGGTTTTCTCTCTGATTTCATCCGACGCCCGCCGGTCCCACGCGGATGCCGACGCTGTCGCTCCTTCTCGTTCAGCGCTGCTCTCCTTCTCGTATTTTGCATTTTTGCGCGTTGAATTTCTTCCGTGGAGCTCAGTAAGTCTCGATCAACTACAAAGTTTAGTGGATCACTGAATAATAAGCTTACGACTCCAAAAGGAACAGATGAGTGCGATGAGACCACCTGTTGTTTTTATTACCCACCAGTCCCTCCATCAACATGGTACCGAACCATAAATAGTTTTTACCTGCTCAGATTTACTGGGTTACACACAAAAGCACACAGCTACAGTAATAGCAAGGAAGCCAAATGACATGTTCTCCATCGATTTTCCTTCTTTTGTTTACAAAAATTACAAATGATAAGGAGTAATGAGCCGTTATTATCCGAAAAGGCCTCAGCCGGCAGATGTCCTCTCCCGCTTTTTGCCGAAGACAATGAGCTCCGCGCGGCGCGAAGCGACCAAAATGACTCGAGTCCTCATTGCCGGTGCTTTTCCCGGGTCGATGACTCGCCGTCACTCACTGCTGCAGCCAGCGGCTGATGAAAACAACCGTGTGATTACGCTGTCCGATGGCGCCGGGCCCTGAGTGCTCGGGTGCGTTCGGGTCCGTCTACGGGGGTCGCAGCCGCTCGGCTCTGCGGCTGCGACGGCGTCGGAGTGGACGGAGCCAGCCGTCCACTCTGTAACCACGCAGGCTTTTTTTACCGCCATGGACGCCCTCCGTTTGTGTGGTCCAATCAGCGCCTTGTCCCGGCGAGCGCGCGGCCCTCGGCGGACCCGATCCAACCCATTTGACCGGCGCGCCTCCGAGGCCTCATTATAGAGCGCGCACCATTAAGTGTGCACAAGCACCACGCAGGACATCGTCCAGCGCAGACAAACCAATGGCGCACTAATTATTTCAGGTGCGTCTGAAGCTTAAGCGTCTCGGTCCCTTTGAGGCCCGTTATGCAGATTTGAGACGGGCTTCTCGAGAACTCCTTCGACTTAATTGATTTTGAGGGCGGGCACGTTTAACAGAGCAATCGCGTCTCCATCTCATCCCAGTCGGGTCTCGTTAAGCGCCTCCGCTCTGAGGGGAAAGAATCTCCGCGTAATGGAGTTTGGGAGCTGACCTTGCGGAGCGAGCAGATGGTTCCCGCTGAGCAGTCGAGAGGTCGAGCGGCGTTTTTTTTTTCTTCTTTTCTGCCTCCGCTCTGTTTGACGGAACGAAGCTGCAGCAGGATACCGTATGCGTGCAGCGGGGCGGACGCCCTGCTTTCCATTATAGATCCATTTTATTACATCTTTTGTGTCCGTAATACATTTCTTTTGACGCGCAACTTCAAAGTCGGTTTAAACCATTAGATTACAAATGTTGTTTTTGACTTTAGATTCATGCATCTGCGTTCACACCGTGGTCGTTTTCATGGAAACAAGATTCGAACGAGACGCACGGTGTCGATGGGCGGCGGATCGATTTGGCAACAGATCTGGAGTTGAGTTCTACGGATTTTCTCACCCGGGTCGGCGATGCGGAGCTCCCTTTTAGATCTTAGCACACGTGAAGCCTTTGTGCTACTCGAAGCACAAATCAGTAGTTCACTTCAGTGGAACATCTCAGAAGTCAAAGTTGGGTCAATATCCAGCTGCTCGGGCTGCTTCAGGGAGTCACGGTTACTGCCAATGCTCAATATCGATCATTAGAAAAGGAGTGAATTACTCCTTGTAAAGTTTAAGGGGGCCAAGACGTTTACATTGTGGTCTATTATACTACAGCGAGGATGATAGTATTTTTGTTTGGTTCAACCCGGCAGTCGGCTCACTTAACGAACCGGCTTTCTGACCTAAAACACCAATATGTAAACGTGCATTTGAACACAAACATACATGGAGCGGCGACCCGTCAGCTGGCGGCCTGTTCAGTAACTTTAGTCTCGTGGTGACTTCACCGGGTGTCTTTTAGATTTCAGACAAAGCCATCTCGCCCCCTCGCCGCGAGCTGTGCTGCTGATTCAGCACGCCTTCGCGCACGTCGACGGTTGTTTTATTTCTTTTTCATTTGCCTGCGATGTGGGCAAAGAGGACAAAGACACCATGGAAGGGATGATGGTGAATGAGCGATTGGATAATGGGCCCGTTGGCCACGGAGCTTAACGCATCAGGGTGTTTCAACCAACATGGAAACGGATCCAAAAAGATTTCTGTCGCAGTCTAAATCCGATTCTTTCTGGATCCATTTATCCGTTTAGCCACAGCAGACCAAGGAACGGTTTCCATTTACAGTTGACTCAAGTGCAGCCAGAATAATGT